TAATGGTCTTAAGTATCTCCAAAAAAAGCTGTACAAAAAATATTTTCAAAATTGTACAGTAGAAACAAAATTCTACACATTTTAACCACTGACTGTCCTTTGCCTGAATAGTGTAGTTTTTGTATTATCTGTGTTTAGTATTTGTTGTTTTTAGTTTGCTAGCCATGCTGAGAATGGAAATACCCCAGCACTCATTTTTGCTTGCTAAGAAAGAAAGAAAAGAAAAGGCAAGGCAAAGAAAAGAGAAACCTCAAAACCTAGCATCAGAATAGAATTAAATAAGGAAATGGCAAGGCGTCTAGGGTGAGGTAATACATGTGAGCAGGAAAGGAGACACCACTTAGGAAATCCCTCTCTCCCCCAGCAGCGTTTCTCAGAGTGGCTCTAAATCCACTAGTATGGCCCATCTCCAATCTCAATGGAGGGTAGAGACCTTGGGGAGCACAGGGGTCTCTCCTGGAGAAGGGTGCAGTAGCTCTGGGACAGGATTCTGGTAGAAATCTGTCTTAAGAAGCTCTCCAAGTGATGCGTATGTCCAACAAAGCTTAAGAACTAGTGCAGCTGACAGCTGACTATGTAACTGACCTTCAAGTTGAAGGTTAAATTGGAAGGAGATAGCCCTGCATCTGACATGAAAAAACTGAAAAACTGCCCTTGTTTCCTGGAAAACACAGGCTTGCCTTGTGGAGTATCAATATCAACAAGGCCTCAACCTTAGCCAAGCAAATGCCTAACAGCTGGGGGAAAGAAGTGGCTCCCAGGCCACCACCTCCTTTCCCAGGTCCCCCAGGGTGAGGACAGTCAGGGCCTCTATAGCGTACAGTTTCCTAGCCTGGTAGTTGAGTAGTGTCAACTCCATATAGTTTTTTTGTTTTGTTTTGTTTTGTTTTTTGGTACCAGGGATTGAACTCAGGTCCTTGAGCTTTCGAGGCAGGCGGCGAAACTACTGAGCTAAATCCCCAGCCCTACAGCACACAGTTTCCAAGCCACCAGGTGGGGATGATGGTGGATGATTCATTTAATATGATCTGAATTATAATAACAAAGGGCAATGTAAGTACTCATCCTTTTGAAAGTGAGATGTCCCCAGTGGCTAATGTGTCAGGCTCAGATATGAGGATCCCTGGGGGAAACAGGTCCTGCAGGGCAAAGGTCAATTTGACATCCCAGCCAGGAGGCCGCTGCTAACATGTGATGACATCTCTGTCCCAGGTAGCTCAAACATGCAGTCTATCAAGATGTCTCCCATTGTGTGTGGGCTGGGGATTTAGCTCAGTAGTTCTGGCACCTGCCTCGCAAGCGCAAGGTCCTGAGTTTGATCCCCGGTACCAAAAAAACAAATGTCCCTAACAGCTTCCTCCTTCTCAGACATGGGCTATAACAGTGGACAATCAAAGAGCTCCTCTTGCCTGTTCTTCCCCCAGTAAGAGCATAGCAATTGGGAAGATCAGCCTGATAAATATGGCCTGGAGTTAGCTGTCCCACATAGCTAGGGTGAGCCTTGACAAAGAGTTAAAGACTGTCCTCAAAAGCTCCCATCCATCTGTGAGGCAGCAGAACACCCCAGGGGTCAGACATGGCCTGGGGACAGATGGAGCACTGGGACCAATTTGGAAATGAAGCCTAATTCCAGGCAGAAAAGATGGGCTGCCTTTGACATTGCCTGTGCCCTTGACCTAAGGGCCAGTCACAGTGAGGCCATGAGGACTCAAAGGCCATGGTGCACATAAAGAGAAAGAGGTCATTCTGCCCAGAATTTTAGGCAGCAGTCAAAGCCCAAAGAAAGGGGATACAGTCACATCCAAAGGGTGGGCCTCTCAGAGGGGAATGGTATGCACCCAGATGTGAGTGTGCCCGTAATGGAGTGATGAGGCTTCATCACCCCCACCCCAGGAAGGTGCTTTGAAAAGTTTGATCTGACAAAGGGGGTGACATTAACAGTCCAGGAAGAAGATCCAGACCTGCCCCCTGCCCTCACAGCAGACTCCTATGCTCACACTTCTGTGACCAGATCCTGAAAGCCAAGTCCATGGCGGCAGGGGTGGGGGATAGAGGTATGTGTCACATGAACAGAAAACAGTGCGAACACAAAGTGCTTCAGAGTCCCCAATTCAGCTTCTTCCATTCATCCAGTCTGTGCTCCAAGGATGCATTTTCTGTTAAACACAGATTTTAAAGACTCTCTACAAGATGCCATGCTCAATTTTTAGCAAACTTTAATGAAGCCATTTTTGTTCATGAACTAGCAGTGCAGGTTAACTAAATAGTGAAATTCCAGGCAGCCCCTTACTTGGCTATGGTTCACACTAAATTCAGGCCAAGATCTGGGAAGAAATAACCTTTGGTGTGCTGAATTTGCAAACCTAAATATAAAGTGACAAGAGCAGCCTCCTGTTTGCTGTTGAGTGGAGAGCTAGTCCCAGCACTTGCCACCCCGTGGGCAGGCTGGTGACCCATGAGGGGCCACCACACAGAACTGCTTTCCAGGAAGGTCTGGGCACTCTCCTGGGAGAACCACCACGCATCCTTCTCCGTCATTCTCTCCTCTGGGCACAAGGAGGTATCCATAGTTTCTGGCTCCCCAGGCCCCACCTGAGTACCAGGTGCACCTTTTCCCTCCTTGCCCAGGGTCTGGCAACAGACTGCAAGGGTTATAGTGGAGGGCAAGAGAGCTGGCTACAGCTGGCAGTACATTGCTACCTCCTGAGCATGCAGAGGCTGTGGGGGCTCCTCTTAGCTTCTGAATCAGGAGAAAGACTCCCAAGCCCAGATTGAAGAGGCTAGTTAAGAGATGCTCTAATTCAGGAATGACCCTTTGAAGAGAATAGGAAGAAAGAAGACAGCCAGGCAGAGAAGCCTTGAGACCCAGCCAAGTCAAGACCCACATGACAGAGGCTGGGAGAAGGCAGAGATGGCAGGCAGGAGGAAGCTCGCAACAGCACTGTGGGCAGTGAGGCTGGCCCCAAAACAGCAAGCGGGGAAACGGGGTTGGGATCCCAGGAGCCGGTAACCAGTCAGCAGTGTCAACATGGCCCTACCATGCCTTCCAGCCCTTCTGCGGCCTTGGACGGGGAGTAGAGAAAGCACATCCACCTTTGGGGCAGGGGTAGAAGGTTTCAGGTGGCAACGAGTCATGGGACTCTGCTTTTATTGCTCCATGTCCCCTCTTAGAAGTGGATCAGCCCTAAAAGTCTTCTGTTTCTTGCCAACTTCCTTCTCCAAGGATGCAGCCCATCCTCAGGCACAGCCCATCACTGTTCCACAAGCCCAACCCTTACTTTCCATCTCCACCAGCTCCTCATTGCACCACTGCTCAAACTGGCCGCCATGCATTACAACTCAATGGTCCCACCCAGTTCACAGGTCAGGAAGAAGGTGCACAGGATGTAGGCAGGCAGCCCAGGTCATGTGGCTGAGGGATCAGGCCCAACTCCTGGCTGCCCTGACTCCAAGACTAGTGCTTTTATCCCATCCCACCAAAGCAGTGGCTCTCAACCTTGGCTGCACACTGGGGTCCCAAACAAAACTGGTCAAACAACACCTATGCTGGGCCCCACCCCAGAAGTATGGGTCCAGTTTATGGGGACTGGATCCTCAGTAGAAGTCCCCCAGGTGACTGTAATATGCAGCCACGGTGGAATGTGGTGTGCTGGGAAGTTCAGGATGGCAGGGCCTCGTTTACATCCCTGCACTAGGCACTGTGCCCAGACCAAGTTAGAGGTGAATGTCTGAAGGGATGAATTTTTCTGGTAAGGTTTCCCAATGGTTTGTGTGTTGGGAAGCGTGGTCCTCTGTGTGGCAATGGTGGGAGGTGGTGGACCTGGAAGAGGCAGGGCCTAGAGGGAGGTCACTGGCTGTATTTCCCTTGAAAGGGATTAACATAGGGCCAGGCATGGTGGCGCAGGCCTGTAATCCCAGGGACTTGGAGGCTGAGGGAGGATTACAAATTTGAGGCCAACCTGGGCAATTTAGTGAGATCTCATCTCAAAAAATAAAGGACTGGAAGTATAGTTCAGTGATAGGGCACTTGTGTAGCATGTGTGTAGCTCTGGGCTCAATCTCCAGTACTGGAAAACCAATCGACAAGTCAAAAAGGAAGGCGTTAAGGTATGGAGCCCTCACTTAATCCTCTTGAGAGTAAGTTGTTGCCAACACCTGAGCCTGAATCACTCTCTGGGTTCCTATCTGGCCATGTGACTTTGTTCCCATATACACTCCACCACCACTGTGGTCCCATCTGCCACAAGAACTGCACCAGAGTCAAGACTATGCTGGCACCGTGCCCTCAAACCTTCAGACCAGTGAGCTAGATAAACCTCATTTCTTATAAAGCTACCCAGCCTTGGGCATTTCATTAAGTAACAAAAGTGTATCTAACTTTTCCATCATCCAGATGCAAACTGAGCCCAGGCCCCAGAGCAGTCTCTCCGCTCCTCCAGGCTCTTACATAGGGATACAAAATCAGTCTTCTCAGAACATCGCCTTCAACCTGTTACCCTTTGCTGTTCAAATTTCCAAGGCTTGCTCCAAGTGGAGTGATACACATTTAATAACCCCCAAACCTGTCCCAACTAATTTTCAACCATCTCTCCCACTCCTCATGCATCCTGATCTGGCCAGGTAGCTATCCACCTTGCCTCTTGCAGGAGGCTTGCACATTGCTGCCACTGTGCCTTTGAATGGCACCCAATGTCCTCTCTCTCCAGCTGTCTGGATCCTCCTCATCCATGAGGACCCACCTCCTCTGTTGTGTTCTTCTCCCTGCTCCCAGCAATCCTTTCTAGCTCTAACACTGAGACAAAGAACCTTACTTGGCTCCACTGGTAGTTTCTCACTGTCATTTTGATATGCACGTGTCCTAACTTGCCAGTACATTAGTGTCACGTGAGGATTGCACCCACTAGCACACCCTTTATCTCCCACCCAGTGACGACATTGAATTCTCTGAGTGCCTCTGAGCCTTCCTAGGCCCCTGGCTGTGCTGAGGCCAACACTCTTACCTGTAATACCGTGACTGCAAGTAGGTGGAGCACACGGCCTTGGACACGTGACTGGCCGAGCCGAAATCGATGACCTTTACTCTGTATGGTTGTCTGGATGGATCCACCAGCATGATATTCTCTGGTTTGAGGTCGGCATGGATAAGACCCAGGCTTTTGAGTTTCATCAGGGCTGTCGCTACCTGTTGGAGGACCGGGCGAATGTATTTGAGGGGTAAGGGGCTAAACTTGTTCTGCTTGAGAAAGTCATAGAGGTTCTGCTCCAACATCTCAAAGACCAAGCATGTGTGGTTCTTATGCTGGAAGCACTCATAGGCCCGAACAAAGTTGTAGTCATCGGCGCTCTCTGTGCTCAGCCGGGCCAAAATGCTCACTTCTATCTGACCCTGCCGGGCATATGAAGGATGGTTCTTCAGGATCTTGATGGCCACAATTTCATTGGTACCTCGTTTCCAGCACTTGACCACTTGCCCAAATGTCCCTCTGCCCAAGAACTCTAAAACCTCGTAGGTGTTGGTCATGGAGCACAGTACTTCATGCTGCACCAGTTGATAATCACCTTCACTGTTGGAGCCACTGTTTTTGGAGGTGGCAGTGGATGTAGTGGCAGTGGCTACAGTGGCCCCACTAGCATTATTTTGAATCATGGGTGGATGCTCTTCGATGATCTGCACGCTGCTCGTATTCTCAATCTCCTCACTCTTACGCTTGAGTCCACATTTTTGGTAGGTATCAAGGAGGCTCACAGTGCTTCGACGCATTAGGTTATGTGGTCCGCCGAGGACTTGCCCGGTGACAGAAGTGCTACTTGCTGATGTTACAACTATGTGCCCGGTGCTTCCTGGGAAGATGATGGTCTGCTCGTAAGGGAGGCTTGGGTTTGGGATCGGCAAGGAGGTGCTGACGGTTGTGGTGGCTGGCTGAGAAGGTGGGATGTTCTTGCTCTGGCTATACACTTTGCTGTGGGAGCCGTACCCAGTCATGTCCCAGTTGGAACTCGGCTCAACTTTCAGTTTCTTCACACTACAGAAGGCACTTGACTGAAGGGTGTGAGGGGAGAAAACTTGCACATGTGAGGCCATACCTATGAGAAAAAGAAAGGAAAAATATTTGATGCAGTCTTACCTGAATAACCTTGGCAGATTCATTTGGATTCTGATCAGTGGCTTGAGTCATATTTTCCTCCCAATTCAAAATGAGCTATCCCACCAGATGCACATTCTGGTCTTTGGGTTTGTGGAACCAAGTGGTTCTGGCATTCCAATCGCCACCAAGAGGAGGCGAGGACAGCCAGGTGTAGTCTCCATTCAGATATCAAATTAGGGTGTCAGGACTTTGTTCAACATGTATTTCTTACGAATATTATTTGTGGCAGAAACAGATCTTTCTTCTATTCCCAGACTAAATCAAGTGGCCCAGATTGATGTCATACACATAGCTCCTCCACATGGTCAGCTCAGCCTTGCCAACAGACCCTGAGAGCCACGTTCCCTGCAATGTGGAAACACCTTCCCATGCAGGTCCCATCATGGGGCCACTCATGATCTGCTGGGTTCTGAATGAGTCATCATTACGGCCTGGCCTCTTGGTTGTCTTAAATAGATTCTGCCAGGTTGAAAAGATTAACAGTCGGCTGATGTCTTCAACTAAAAAAGCCCAAAACCTATTAGCAGCCCTTTTTTGGGGAAGTAGCATAATTCGTGAATTTCATTCACTCACTTTTTCTACTAAATTCATGTATCAATAACCTTTGCTAGAAAGTACTAGGATTTCCTACCAACATGACGACCACAATTCAGGTAATTATAGAAATCTTTTAGACCATTATTCTGTAATAGTTGTATGATTTATAACTATGGTGATGCTAATCATAAATACAAAAAAATCATACAAAATGTCTTAAGGGAAAACAGCAAAGAGGAAGGTTAAGTAAGGTAAAAGTAAAAACAAATATTGCCCATCTTCTAAAGTGCAGTTGATAAACACATTACAGAAGTGTCTGCAGTTCTGTGAGCCCCAAGCACTACCCAGAATGGTTATTTAACATTTCCTCTTTAATCCAACCCTGGCCCACCCTTTCTCAGCAAGTGATACACCATCCGCTTTGTCCAGAAGCCCAGGGTCAGCCTGAATTTCCTCCTTTCTCTGCTTCTTCACTTCAAAATATTCCTACATCTACATCTATCCTCCTCCCTCTGGTCCTTCCCTCCAATCCCAGAGGAAGATGTGTTCTCCTTTCTAATCCTAAAAATCTCCCATCCTTGTAATTCCTCTTCTCCCATTTTCTCTGAACCCCTGCTTCCTCCGTTGTTCTCTTGTGGCTTGAAATTCAACTCTGCCCTGTTAACTGGATCCAGATCCTTGGGGGGTATGGAACAAAGGTTGGCCAAAGAAACCACAGACGCAATCTTTCGCTTCTGCCTTCATGCGCGTATGCACACACAGACTCCCACGGAAGGCAGAGGAGCACCAGCCATACTTCTCCCTCTGAACTCTTTCCTTCTTACCTATAAGCCAGTGATGTTTGCTCCCTTTTCTTCACTGCTCACTTCTTAAACCATCTCCCCCTCCCCCTTATTCATATACTTATGCCTGCATTCTTAAAGGTAAATGACTTCCTAATTGCCCAATCCAGTGGCCTTTTGTTAGCCCCTATTTTCCTTAGCTTCTCTGCAACATCTGATACTGCTGACCACAACTTCCTTCTTGATGCTCTTATCTGGCAAGTGTGAATCTATAACCTCCTCCTCCCAGTGTCCCACAGCACACTATGCTTGGGTGGCTCCTCTTCCTCTTCCCTTCTTTCAAGTCCTGGCATTTCCAGTGTTCTGACTGTTCTCTCAAGTCATCCATTTGAACAGTTTAAACTGTCATCTTTTTACAGCCAACTCCCACATGTTTATCTCAGGCCAAGCTCCCCTCCTATGTTCCAGTGATAAATTTCTGCTTCCCGCTACAACATTAAAGATGATATTCCAAACCTGAACTCCATAAACTTTTCCTACAAACCAAATTGCATCCTCCATCCTAACATCTGAATTTCCAGTCATAAAATATCCTTCTAGTTATTTAGTTTCCAATTGGATTTATGTTTGATGATTCTTTACCTCCACAGGTATACACAGAAGGTACTAAGTCTCAATTTCTCCTTCCTTCAAAATGTCTCTTGCATTCAATTTTTTATTTCTCTTGCTACCACTTTTGCAGGCTGAAACATTTATCACTCTCCAATCACAGCAATGATGCAAATACAAACATCTGGTCTACCTGAGCACTCCTCCCTTTAACATGCCTATACTTGGCCACAGACTTATCCTCCTAAAACATCTCTGAAATTTCAATCCTCTACCTAAACTTTCAATGACTCTTTAGTCCGGCTAATCTATACAGCATCAATACTTCACCTGCTTCTTCCTACTCCTTTTTCTGTTCAGCTCAACCTCCCCCTAATTCTATGACAACACTGAAAATGGTTATTCTCTATTCATCAGTATCATTTAAAAATCCAAATTGCTCTAGGTGTTGTACACACTATAGAAATGATTGACTCCTTGCTTTTCAGTCACTTATCCACAGAAGAGGTCAAGCAAAATATGCATTTCCTTCATGGTTTGGTCCCTTGCTTATCCTTCATGCCTCAATCCTCAAGTACTTGGTGGAGGAAGGGTGGGCATCACAGGCAGCAAAAGCAGAAAACTTTGCTGATTGTACATGAAGGCAGTGAGGTGCTATACCCAATTTTCACTGTTTCAAAAAGTTCCTGGTGGAAAGGCCAGGGCAAAGAAGTGGAATTTTACAGAGGGGAAGAGGGTTATGACTTAGTTGTTATTGGGATGACAGCCAAGGGTCATAAAATTGTGGAACTCATCACTGGCTGCCTCTGGTGACAGACACCCGAGATCAGAGAGCAGACTTGCATGGCCAGGACTGCCCTTCACCCTTTGCCATGCTGGGACTGCTGTGGCTACTGCAGAAGTCAACAGCCACTATTCTAAGAACCAGACATGATGCCAATGCAGCCTTTTACCTTGTTCTGCAGGGTCACTTTGCTCTGGGCAGCAGAATGCCTGACAAGACAGAGCTAAAGAAAATCTTTAATGGTAATAATGTCTCGAATCCCAGATATACCTTTGTAAAGAATAAAATATCTCTAGTGGTTGTAGAGCTTACACAATCAAACTTATTTCCAAACATGTCTCCTTTAAAGTATTTTTCTGGAACAAATCTTCTTGATTAGTTTAGCTCTCAGTGAGTAGAGCCCACAACCTTTGCTGCTCTATTTATTCAGATCCCTAAAGTGATAGATGGGGTGGGATGGGGTGAGGGTGGGAGGAACATGAGACCTTTTTGTTTTCCATGGTAAAGGAGAGCTAAATGTTTCCTCTAATTTCTTTGTTGATTGCTGTATGCTTCAAGGCCCACTCACCTCTTTATCAGGTTTTTTTTTTTTTTTT